TTGAGATAGAGTTGAGATTCAAGCCGACTTATGGTTTCAAATTTCTTTTTGCTGAGTTTTCAAGCTTTGGGTGCAGTAAATATTTATAACTCATACCATACCAGACCACAAAGTTTACAGTAGATAAATCATCACAGATGATCGATACACAGTATGTGATATATCAGATTTCGTATATCTATCGTCTTCCTAATTAGAAAACATGTATTTCAAAGACTTATGCATTGGTAAATATAGATAGACAGTTAGATAATGGCAAATATAGAATATGCTTCTATATGCCATTATTACGCTCTGAAAATTTAAGCAAGATAGTCCAACTAGACTAAAAGTTATGCAACATTTACGTTCCAAATCAAGCCCAAGCAAGACCATGCATGCAGTGCGTGCCTATGTGTTACATACATACATGTGTCTGTTATTTGTAAAGTATGTATGAGATAGCAATGATAGAGTAGAAGATCTTCAGCTCTGAATATATTCTAGTCGGACAGTCCAGAATCGGAGTAGCACTCGGCACTGCTAAAATATTTATTTTCAGGGGAAGTCTTATATTTATACTCATTCACGAAAGTGAATCAGTATATTGGTTTTGTGCAATGTCCGTCTTGCTGTCCGTCCGTCTGTCCGTCCGTCCGTCTGTCCGTCTGTCCGTATGAACGCATACTCGTGTATATCTCCGATTTATAAAGTGTTAAAATTTTCCCGATCCGCCCACTAGGGGCGTGGCAAATCGGAAAATGCATTTTCCGATATACCAGGAATCATATAAGTTGAAGAGCTAGAAAGCTGAAATTTGGTATATAGGTCCGCATCGACAACCCAAGATCACAAGCTATGGCGGATATATCTCCGCCCATTGGGGGCGTGGCAAATCGGATAAAACTGTATCTCCTAAAGTTGTAAACCTAGAATGCTGAAATTTTGCATGTCAGCTAATCTTATGATTCTATAAAGTCTAAAAATAAAATTATAAGTCTACACCCATTAGGGGCGTGGCAAATCGGACCTGAAGATATAGTGATTTTTCAAAGCCTGCTATTTTTTGGACACTATTGATGCCAGAGATCTCAAATTTTGTATATATACTCGGGCTGATCACCCAAGACCAAAAAGCTTTGTCGGATATATGTCCGCCCACAGGGGGCGTGGCAAACCGCAAAAATGTATATCTCCTAAAGTATAATAGCTAGAAGCTTCAAATTTAGATAGTTGAGTTACTGGTAGCCTCACCTATCGATTCCCCAAAAAATAATTTTTACGCCTCTTTAGGGGCGTGGCATATCGAAAAATACCCTGTAGTTTTCACTTTTTTTGAGAGTAAGCATTCAAACTTTGCAGTTAGGGTACTGTTATCTCGTTCTAGAAACTGACCAAAAATGAGGTGTCTACGCCAAGTAGGGGCGTGGCAAATCGGAAAAGCCTGTATATTCTACAGTATTAAAGCGAAATTTAACTACTAAATTGTTGATGGGATGTGAATGAGTATTCCGCAGTCGGTAACGCCCGACTGCAACGTTCTTACTTGTTTCATTTGCATTTATTGTATTTCCATAAATTTATATTCGCATTCCCAGCTAAGTTAATTTTTAATAATTTATAAGATCTGCTTAAATTGAATGAAATTGCAATGTGAATGAAATATTTAATAGGCAATCAACATATATTAAATGCTGCAAATTGTCGTCATTATTATGCCACCTTCTCCATTATTTGCTAGTTACATAATAGCTAAAAATGTGAGCTGAAATATGACATGCATATGTTATTTGGCTAGGCTAACAGCTGCCAAAGTGCCTAATGTGTCTGACTGACTGACTGGCTGGCTTGGTTCAGCTTTGTTCAGCTTGGCGCACATGTCGTATGCGTAATGCTTGCGTACGTGCGTTAAATATCGAAATATGAAATTGCTGCATTTCATAAGCGCTGCAAATGTAATTATTGTCGCTAGCTTTAATTTTTCTTTCATTTTTGGGCTAGAGGCTTATATTTGTGCCAGGTACTGTATCTATGGTCTTTTGGCCAAGTTGTGAAATAGTTTTGCTGTCGTTGTTTTTCTGTCAGTTCGAAGCAGCTGAAATAGAAAGTGATTGCTGCCTGTTGTCAGCAATTTGGAGGCGCTGAAATTGCCAATTGCTTTGTCGTGTAGCATGCATGTGTGTGAGTGTGTGTGTGTGAGCGACTGAGCGAGTGTGTGTGGGCTGCAATTCAGTCGAGATGGAAAACCAGTCCTGTCTGCCCTGCTGCCGCCTTCTAGCCTTGCAGTAACTGAGTCGTGGGCTCAAGTAGCGTTTAAATTAATGTAGGCAAGCGCTGCAACTAATGACTCTCTTGTCTTGTCGAAGTTGTCAACGTTGTTGTAGTTGTTGCTGTCGTTGTTGTTGTCGTTGTCGTTGTCGTTATTGCTGGCTCTTGGTGCATTGAACTCTGCGAGACATGTCAGACCGTGCCATATAGACAGTTGGGAGTTGGCTGCCCAAAAAGATAGTTAATTAGAGCTTTTACTTTCGTTGTCCGTGAAAGTGTGTGGCATGCCACAGATTCAATTTGGTAAATTGTGCTGCAGTTGCTGTTCCCCTTTAGCGTTGTCTCTGCTCGACTGACTTAATGGCCCGCGGCAAGATTTTCATTTTGGCCAGACACTTTTACCCCGCTACCAATTCAATTTTCGTATCAATAATAGCGCAAAAATCAAATGAGAAAAAAGTGAAGTTGAAAAACAGGTGGGAAAATCATATTTATTTTGTTTTCTTTTGATGATTATTTCGCAAAAGGAAAGTGAAAATGCGATCAACACATTTTTGCGGCTTTGTTTGTTCGGTATTTTGTATTTGATATTTGGTATTTGGAATTTAAAAAGGAAGCGCTAATTATATCAAAGCCGCATTTCGTAGAAAGCAAAACAAATAATATTTGTAGTTATCAATCCGCGTGTTTCGTATTGTTGCGCCTTTGCTTTGGTGAAAGTAAAAACTGTGCCAAAATGTTGATCGAAAAGGAGGAGAAATACATATTAAAAAAAACCGCTTAGCAATTGGGTTAAGCTCAATAACTAAACGTGTTTTATTTATGCCTCGTCTTCTTCTTCTGCGGTTGTTGCTCGTGTGAATTATGCGCGCCGTGGCATAAACTCGAAAATAATATTAAACTGGTTGCTCGAGGCACTCGGCACCCACTTGGGCAGACCTTAGAGTCGAGCTTGCATCGCGCTAATATGTCAGCGGCAAAAAGCACTTGCCCCAGCCATCTGTCTAACTGTCTATCCGTCTGTCCATCTCTCCATCTGTGTGTCTGTCTGCCACACATGCACTTGACACCGCTTCGCTTTCGGAGGCTGCGCTCACAGCGCCTGGGGCAAGTCAACGATCGCAGCAGCAGCAACACATAAATCACAGCCAAAGCAAAGAAAGTAACCAGATTTATAGCACTCGGATGGCTAAGACTCTTGAAAATTGTTGTAACATTATATTGAATGCTTGGCGGGTGGTGTTAAAAGCCACACACAGACACTCAAATTCCATTACTCACTCTCCCTCTCTCTCTCTCTCCCTCTCTCTCTTTCTCTCACTCTGTTCTTGTCGAATCGAGTTCAAGTCAGTTCATTTGAGTCAAAGCTCAGCAGGTGTCGATCTCTAAAGGGTTTGTTTAGGCTCATAATCGCCCCAAAAAAGAAAGCACTTTAAAGTTTGAAAAGAATAGAAATCCACCTGTCTCAGTCTGCATTAGATAGAAATTCGTATAGCAATTAAAAATTTTGTTGATTTATTTTGGAAGTTTTTATAGCTCAAAAACTAGTTATAGATTGCAATTAAAATTTACTTTTTAACTAATTTTAAGACTAATTGCTTGCATTTCTCTTTCAATTTATGATATAATTGCAAAAAAAAAAAATACATTTTTTTAGTTGTTATGTTTAACAATTATCTAAATAATATAAATGAGAGCTCCAACTAATGTTTATAGCTAGAAGAAATAGCTCGAGTTAGATTTAATGCAAAAAATAAGGGAAAGCTCTTGATATTGTTCTCTATTTTTTAATTCTTTCTTATTCTTTTGCTGCTTTGGATATAATATCTATATTATATCTTTCGCCACACCAATTCCAGATGAGTAAAAAGTAAAACTGAACTTCAACAGAAATGTTTGCAGAATTTCTTCATTGATTTATTGTGCAGACTAGCGCAACCCCCAGAGATATATCTCTCTATATATACACACATATAGGCCTGCCCATCTCTGATAAGTAGCGCAGCGAGTATATTTTACCAGCCATACAAATGGCAGTCGTAAATATGTTGGCATCTTTTCAACGCTTCACGTAGCAATTTGTGAAATTCTCGTCTTGCCAGTGCAATTGTGCCTGCCTTGCAGGAGGCGTGGCTGAAGGGGGCGCCTTGGTAATAAGTAATATGACTGCCACAAAGTGTGACAGATGAGCGTCTGACTGCTGCAAGACATCTGTTTGCCCAGCCTTGGCTTGCCAAAAGGCGAAACCCGTAATTTCAGATGTTGGCAGGCGTATATGATTTAGATATACATATAAGTATATACCTACATATATAGTATGCATATATGGCTGGCTACAGCAAACAATTACACTGCAAGAGTGAAAAGAAGAACAAAAGACTGAAGACACAAACTTGACATCGAAAATAAATGATGCCTGCCAGCCGAGGCAATCTGAAATCTCTCGCTCAAAGTCGGTTTCGAATTTCTAAGAAATGCAAATGTGCATCACATCGGCATCCACAATGACAATGACAAAGACAAAGCACAGGGCAGGTGCCGCAATTGTTGTTTTAGTTGTTGCTGTTGTTGGGGCGTACCTGAAAAGTGAAACCCGCTGTCGCTTTTGTTTTGGCAGCCGCCACATTTGCCGTTGCAGCTGCACCAGATTCTCTGCACTGCAATAAATAATTAGTGAAACTGAAGCTTTGGAATCTCAAGAATTTCACCAGCTCTAATTGCACCACTTCCCCTCTCTCTTACTCTCCTTGCAGCTGCCCAGCACAATGACATCTCGCAGATCTCGCCCAAGTCCAGCAGCCACAACTCTGGAGCTCGCTTGAGCATTGAGAGCACCATGACAGACACGAACAGCATCCCGGAGAGCGTACACTCAGAGCCGCTGAATGAGAGTGAGACGCGTGCGCGTGTAGAGCGTTCGGCCTCACCCATACTGCACGAGCCGCAGCAGCAGCAACAGCATCCCAATGATATCAGCTATAGCAACGATGGCGAGAAGGACGTCTCAGCGGGCCGTTACTTTCACTATAACATCAAGCCGACGGGCACGTACGATCAGCAGGAGGAGCAGGAGCAGCAGCAGCCAGAGCGCACACATCGCATGCGAGCAGGAAAGACTCTAAGTGGCAGCAGCAGCAGCTCCATTGGCAGCAGCTCAAGCGAGCAGCCTTTTTTAGTGCAAAGGGGGCTGCGACAGACTACGTCGGGGTCCCCTATCAGCCCGAGTCCGAGCAGTATTGCCAGCTCGACAGCCAGTGCGACTCAAACGCCGCATAATCCACGCCAAAACGGCAATCCGGACATCCAGGACATCATCACGGGTATTGTGAAGCTGCTCAACGGCAACGTCAATGTGCACGCCAATACGCAAGGTGTGCGGCGACCCTCGGCGAGCCGTATCAATAATCGTGGACCGCCGCGCATATCCGAGGTGCAGCCCTTGCCGCTGGACTACGAGGCACAGAAGCCAGGCACTTCGATGCGACCGCCTCCCTATCCCTTCGATCGACCCGACCGTCCGTTTATTACGGGCGTGCCCATTCCGGAACAGATTGTACCTGTGCGTCCGGGCTTCGTGAGCAATCGGCCGCCCTGGTATCGCAACAAGCCACGCCCACCAATCACAACGAGCGTCAATGGGAGTCGACGTCCGCTGCCGCAGTATCAGCCAATGCCGCAGCAGTTGCCCGCACGTCCCGCCGAGCCGGAGCCAGTGCATCAGCAAGAGGATGTGAAGCAGCAGCAGCAGCCAGAGCCAACGGATGACCATCTAGACGCTGTGCCGCCCACAGACACCACCTACGACTCGGAGTTCTCCAACGAAGATGCCAATGCGCAGTACATCGAAGTCTCAGACCAGGACACCGAAGCTGGCGGCGAGATCGAAGATGAGCTGATGCCACCCGCCGAGCCCTCACCTACAACGCCAACCAAAGAACAGGTGATCAAAAAGAAGCACAAGCCCAAGCCGGTGAAGAAGCCGCACGAGGAGCATGATGGCTACACCACCATCATTGAGACCAGCTCCGTGGTGAACACCGTTATGGGCATGTCGTCGAGCTATGTGCCCATGTCCATGGATAGCGCTGCAGATGCTAGCCACGATCTTGATCCCTCCACGGAGGAGGTCATCTTTATGACAGCCAATCGCACGCCGGGACTGGAGGCCAGCGCCTCATCCGCTACGAGCAGCATTCAGACTGTGCCTCTGAGCGAACAGGTTGCCTCGGATACCATTGCTCCGACAACCAAATCACCTATGACCACCTCTACATCCACCACCACCACCACCACCAGTACTAGCTCCACTACCACCTCAACTACTACCACAACCACCTCGACAACCTCAACCACCTCGACCACCACTGAAAAGGCGCCCATCGGTAATGGCCCATCGCCCGCTCCCGCCACTCCGGCCGCTCCCTACCATCCCCGACCCGGCATTGTATTGGACGATCCCGAATTCAAGCCCGGTGGCCGGCCACGCCCAGCCGCTCAACGGCCCACAGCTCCGCAGCAGCCCATACAGCCAACGCGCCAGCATCTGCCGCCCGGCTATGGCGAGATCTTTGACGTCACTCTGTCGGCTATCCAAGGTCCGGGTCCCAAGGGCAGCGGCTCCCAGCAGACGATCAACATTAAGCCGTACGGCAGCTATGGGGGAGGGCCAGCCGGCGGCGGCGGAGCACAGGCGGACATCATTGTGTCAGCATCAGGTGACGAGGGCTTCGTCTCAATCGATGGCAAACGAACTTACATCAATCTATTTGGTGATCCCACAGATCCGCCCGCAGGCGCTACGACACCGGCGACACGTCTGCCCCAATTGCCAGGGGCAGCTGGCAGCAGTGGTGGTGCAGGAGGTGGTGGTTCGAAGGGTGGTGCAACTGTGCCGAATCACGGTGTCACGCAGAGCAGCAATGGCTATGCGGTCCCGGAAACGGAAGTCGTAGAACTGCAGTCCCAATCAGGCACAAGTCCGGGACATGGACCGGCACATGGACATGGACAGGGACAGACAGCCAGTAAGGTGCCAGCATCCACGACACATGCGGGACCCACGCGACCACACTACCGCCAGCGACCCACACCACCGCCCGTGCGCATCGACACCTGCATCGTGGGCGATGACACCACCTGTGATCAGGCGCAACACGAGCGCTGCAAAACGGACAACGGCGTGTCCAGCTGTCACTGCAGACCAGGTGAGCCAAGGGAACTGTGAGAGATTAGAGAGATCATATTCGACTATTTGTAGAGAATCCCTTTATATATAAGAGTAGACTTTGTAGTAGAGATTAGAGAATCATCTGTTTCTCTGTTCAAGTTCCATTCTAAACATTCATCCACTTCTAGGCTATTCACGTCGCAAACATCGTGAGCCCTGCCGCCGCGTCATCTCCTTCCATCTGGGCATGCGCGTGGATCGCATCTATGAGCATCGCATTGTGTGGGACAACAAACTTCTGGATCTCAACAGCGAGCCGTATGGCCAGCTGAGCTACGAAGCTGTGCGCGCAGTAAGTAGAGCAGAATAAATATTCCCAGAGAATCAAGAGAAAGCCTTAAGCTAATCATCCTTTACAGCTGGACTCTGCCATGTCTATGACACCCTATTCGGATGAGTTTATGGAGGCCAAGGTGAATAACATCTACAGAGGCGATCCCAACCTGGGCGGCAGTGGCGTCTATGTGAATCTGACATTGAAGGTGAGTGAAATCAAAGAGTCAGGTCATAAAATTTACTAACTTTCTCTCCTCCCTTCAAGCTGGACGAGAGCGTGGAAACGCTGCGTCCCAATCTGCGCAGCGATGTGCAGAAGCATCTCTTGGGTGTGCTGCATCGTCGCAACAACAACATCGGCAACTCGGTGCTGTATGTGAGCTCGCCGGAGGGCGCCGTCTCGGCGCTGCACGATGTGGACGAATGCCAGTCGGCGGAACTGAACGATTGCCATGAGAGCGCCACGTGCAGCAACAGCTGGGGCAGCTTCCAGTGTGCCTGCGCACCGGGTCTGCGCGATCCCTGGGCCGATCAGCCACTGCGTGCGGGCCGGGAGTGCCAGGCCTGTCCGGATGGCTATTGCAATAACCATGGAGTCTGCAGCTACAACGAGGAAGGCGCCCAGAGCTGCGCCTGCGATTCAAGTCACTACGGCGCACAGTGCGAGATCGACGGCGAGGTGCTGGGCGTGGCCATAGGCGCTTCTGTGGCGGCCGTGATCATCATTGTGCTGACTCTGGTGTGCCTCATCATGTGGTCACGTCGCTGGCAGCGCGAGCAAAAGAATGCAATGGGCTCGCCGGTGTTTGGCTACATGAATACGGCTCCATTGAAATCGGCGGGCTTGCCACAAGCGGGCTATCAGGTGACGCTCGAGGATCGCATGCGCTGGGCACAGATTGCAGATGTCATGGCACAGACGAATCATTACGGAGTGAGTGTTAGTTACAGAGAGCCCCAAATATTTATATTGTATAAAAATCTAATCGAAATTCGCTTTTTAGGCGGAACCCATTGGACCCACACGGCCATCGTCGGCCATGTTTGCGTACCCTAATCTGGGTGCCATGGGCATGGGCACCATCGGTGGAATGTCGCTGCAGAGCACCATGCAAATGCATCCAAGCGCCAGCCTGGCGCCGCCAGTGCCATTGCCCAGGTGAATATAAGCAAATATATATGAAATTGATTTATTGCTAACTCCTTTTGGTATTTTTACTAGAAGACTCGGCCTGGGAGCGCGTGCGAATGGCATGCGCGCACTGGAGAACTCCAGCTCCAGTGAGGAGGAGGATCGCGCCGATCTGCTGGGTCGCAATTTTCAAGTGCCACGCCCAAAGAGTCGCAGCAATGGCAGCATAGCGGTAGGCGTACAACATCAACATCTCAGCCATGTCAGATCTCTCATTTATTGTTCTTTTTATTTGATGTAGAACCAGTCGGGCATCTACTACGATGTGGACTATGAGCCTTCGGGCAATGGCATTGGCAACACCAGCGTCGATCATCTTTATGGCTCACAGAATCAGTCTGTGACGCACTCGTCAGGCAACTCTCACATACCCGGCCCCCAGGGCATACCCATGAGCACGTACACCTCGGGCCGTGCGCCCAGCAGTTACTACATGAAGTAGAGTCCCTGCCCCCCCTCCAGCACTGCCCTATCCCCCAGCCCTAGTTCTAGCAAAAAACCTGTAAATATGCAATTTAGCTGTAGTTTAGCTTAGGTCCAACTGCCTAAAACACTTTTCCACTGCAGTCCAAGAGAGGAGGAAGAGAAGTCCATGACTGCAGCTGAGACGCGTTTTTGTGCAATAAGCAAGAAGACTTAGTTTACAATACATATGTATACATCACATATATGTATATCAGATAGTAACGTAAATTTAAATGCAATGTTAACGATCACTAATCATTAATTTTAACCTAAAATTAAATTTTTAATTTATTCTTCTATCCCTAGTTCTAAAAGCAGTTCTATGAAAACTTAGCCGAAAGTCAATTTTAAATCAATCGAGCACTAGTATTTACCAATTTGATGTACTTATGTATTTAGTTTTAAAGTGTGAATGTAAATATGAATCAATAAAGAGATAATAATAGTAATAATAAGTTACCTAAATTGTTTCTGCTTTCTATGGTCGTTGCTGTTTGTTTCTTTTTTTTTTTCAAGAAAAATCATCTCAATTATTATTAAAGAAAAAGGGTCAATATAAAAACACTTAACACAATTTTGAAATTCAATAAATTTGTGTTTTATGCCCAAGTTTCAAAGAATTTCAAATATACCGCCAAATTACCAATGCTTCCAAAACTGTACAGCAAACAAATCTCATGCTATCTCACTTTAACTCTTTGCTGTGTACCACACAATTTACCAGCCCCAAAGGCTGCAGTGTAAGCGTGACAGCTATATAGCACACTTCAATCCAGTGTTGAAGAAGATTCAAAGTGTAAGGCAAGTTTATCCGTTGGCGCGCATTTTGAATTTGTTTGTTTTTTTAATTACATAGCAAAATGATTTGCAAACTTCAGTTGTTGACATTTAAATTATCTAACGAATTGGCATTTTTCATTATGCTGACTTAACAATAAAAGGCAAAAATAGTTGGCATGCCTGAAGGTGCTAACTACGTTTTATTTATGGTCTCGACAGTTTTCACTTTTCTTTGGGAAAATAGTAATAGTAAAATAAGAAACGAGATTTGATGATTTATGAGTATGGTTGCTTTGGTTCACACGCATACATAAATTAAAATTATTAGAAAAAAAAGAAAACTGAAAATATGAAAATTTCGTATGTACGTTCCGTTTGCGTGCGACAGCCCGAAAGTGAGGCCAACAGAGGCTTATGCAACAATTATATGAAGTGCTTGTGGTAACGGTTAGCTGGCCAGGTGCACGCCTCTTGCTTGACCCTTGCATGTACCAGATGTAACGACTTAGCACCGCTGTTCACGCTCTCTCACCCTCCCTCTCTTTCTCTATCACTCATTATCTTTCTATCTATCTCAAGCACAGTGGGCGGGCGAGCTGTCGACAGCTCAATGGAAACATTGAAACAAGTCAATGTATCGACAGATCTATCAAATCGCCATGTATTAGCCTGCTAATGGTTATATATTTTGGTGGTTCAATGTCGACTTAATTAATCGACACCTTTTGTTGTCGATGAGCTTTTTGGGCTTAAAGGCAAAACCGCTTAGCGCCAGCAATTGTAAACTCGAAAAGGTCGAAACATTCGTTAATAGCGCCTATTTCATAACTCATTACCGTTGATCGAAGAGCAGCTAAAAATAAAAAGAAAAAAAAAATAACTAAAAATAAGGAAATATTATGTAGTGTACAGCATCTGAAGATGATTTTTATTAGATTGTTTGGATCCACAGTCAACAGCAGATGTTGACCCAATTGTCTAACAATTTCAGTTACATTTTTTTTGTATTTTTGATTTTTTGCCATGACGCTGCAATCTTTTAGCGTGCCTTTCAATTGCGACAGCGGCGGGGGCGTGTCCCTTAATATAAAGCAGCTCACGTAAACGTGCGACTCGTGCAACATAAACCGAAGAGACATCAAATTAAAGCGTAACCAGTGTAAAAAGTGCTAAAGAGTCGCAAGTGAACGACTAGCAAATACCCTAAACACTATGTCAAGGTGGCTTGAAATATTCTAACTTATGTATGTACATATATAACGATAGCTATAAGCTCATGCGTGCGTACGCACACACATACAAGTGTATACAAACGTGCAGACGAGAAACACGCACGTCACTCGCTACTAACTTAATTTTATCTCCATGTAATAAATATAGCATAAAATAGACATTCACACATGCTCATATATATATGAGCTGTATATGAGCTGACAACTTTCGTTTAGGCTGAATGACGTGGGATATTCAAAAAGTTACTATATACAGACATATATACATATGTAACATAAATATATAACATAACCATATTGTTACAGATACATACTTACATATGTGTTTATGTATGCATAAATATGTTATGTTGGCAACTGCTGCCACTTGTGGTTAGCGACAATGACAATGGAAGTTCCTCTGTTTTCATATGTAAACTTTAGGCTAAGCGTAGCGCTTCGAGTTAATAGATCAAAGAGGAAAAAAAAAATCGCGCTGTGGGAGGACATTGCAGATGTACAGATCTTCAAGTCTCTAGCTCTTATACGATGTATTGGAGTATCAATGCTCTTATACGATCTATCAGAGTATCGATACATATGAAGAAACGAGTAAAGGAAGACGAACAAAACTGTGAATCTGCTTGGTCTTTTCAACGTAAACCGTTATACCCTATTTACGCATTTTCAATGAGTCGAGGGTACAAATTTGCAAATAGGCAATGGCGAATTATATCAGGTGTCTAAATCGATGCTCGGTATTAGCGTCAATTTGTGTGATGTGTGCCAAATCGGTATATTATGTCATCCGCAGAGCGGCCTTCAGCTGAATGGGACATCAGGAGCCAAAGCGTAGTGGGTCAACTGCAGACATCAGCGCCATAACATTAAACTGAGAATTGCAACAAGACTTTGTTGAAAGCCATAAACACATTTCGCACAACCTCAGCCGTTTCAATTGGCAACTGCTGCCGCTTTGGGCCAGCGACAATGACAATGGAAGTCTCTGTTGTTGCTATTGGCGCTGTTGCTGCTGCCGCTGCTGCTGCTGCAAGGCAGGTGTTGCAAGTAATAATTCAAAGCCAAGCTGCTCAGTTCCTCCTCGAGCTTCGTGACACGCCACATGAGTAACAGCGAAGGCGGTGGGTGATCACTGTAGCCGTTTGTCATAATTGGACGCGCGTGGAAGATGCGCTCGCCACTTCCTTGTTGGACTGGAAAACAAATTTTTCCTTTCTGTCAATGTGTGGCAAATGGCTCAAAGCTGACAAAAACTTGGCCAAACAAAGCGCAAGCACAAAAACACAAAATACAAATTTTTTCGTCTAACAACAACAAGATAGCACGCAGGTACAGTGGTAGTTGGAAAGGCATTTAAAGCTTAAAATGTATTACATATTTACATTTTAATATACTTAATGCATACGGCATGATTTATTATATTTGATTGATAATTCATAATTATTAAATTGATCAATTTTGATTTCATTAAAGTTTGATTTGCTTAGGCAATAATAAAAGTATTCAAAAAATTCAAATAAAAAAGATCCCCTTATTAATTACTTGAATCCATTTGCTAAGCAGCTTGCGAATGTCTGCCAACGCTTAAAGTCTCATTTAACACAGGGAGCACACTTATCGCATTATAATAAAGATCTCATGGGAATTTAAGCTAATTGGCGTGGAAAACTCACTAAAATCAAAGCAGTGAGAGACCTTCGAGTCGATAAGCATCTGTGATGCGAACCACTGTGCAACGCATACATGTATAGTTTTTGTTGCTGCTGCCACAAGCGGAACAACAGTTGGAAGGCATATAAAGAGTGTACAGAGAAAAACAAAAAAAGTTACAAAAAATCACAAAAAGGCGGCGCACGACAAAATGCACTCAAATGTTGCAGTTGCAACAGACAACACTAAATAAATGCCATGAAAAGACGCTGCATGAATTAACATACGTGTTAATGAGCCAAGCCACCAAGCCACACACAGGCCGAAAGATTCGCACGCACATAAAATAACTTCATTTACATTGAAGCTTCCTCGCAGGCGGCTAGGACGGTTGGACCGTTGGACGGTATTCAATTGGATGGCATTCCGGCAGCCACATGGCTTTTTGAATCGGAGTGAGTCCATGTGAAAGTCTTCGCCTGACGTAACGCGGTTGCATCTTCAAGCAGCGACACCTGTTGCTCGTCGCTGGAATTATTCGATTGCGCAATTGGCCAATCGTCGCTTCCCTCTCCTGCCGCCGCTCTCTAACTCTCTATCTATCTACCTATCTCTATCTCTGTTTGTGCAGGAAGGTGGCACCCACGCTTCCGCTTAAAGTGTGCCCAGAGCCTGGCCATCGAATTGCCCAACGATCAAACGGTGTTTAATTAGCAATATTTGTCAAATGGCAGTCTTAAAAATATGTCTTCGGTCTTCGGTGTCTTCAGCGCATGGCAAGCGGCTTATAGATGAGGAAATTCGCGCATGTGCAGCTGCAAGACGTCAGCTACGCAAATTGGAATGCGAGACCTCTGACTGAGGCTTGGCTTCGTTCGCTTGGTCCATTGCGTAATGTCCATTTGGAGCCTGGTCTGAGCCAGTGAGCCACTGAGCCGGTTTTTCGTCTGCATCTTTTGCAGGACAACGCCTCAATGGACACAACATAAAGCTCGTTCTGCATTTTTGTTGCCATGTCTCGACGTCTTCTTCTGCTGACGTCTTCTTATGACCGAGATTACAGCTGTCTGGGATTGCCACAACAACTGCCATAAATATACCGATAATACTGGGGACGTTGCGAATCTGTGTCTTGATCCGTTGTTAACCTGTTCCACTGATCAACCTTGGCGCACACGCATGAGCGAACCTTTTTCAGACGAGTCGCTAATCGTATGGATTACGATTTCATTTATCAAGTGGTAAATGGTCAAAAGTCATGTATCTTGACCACCTGCAGCTAGCATCTAAATCTGCAACGTAGCCAAGCAATTAATGCTGCATTTAATTGAAATTGCGCTGACAAAACGACGCACCTAATTGGCTACGGCTCGAAATGGGATGATGCAACCGGTGAACCGGGGCAACAGTTTCAAGAAATCTGCTTTGGAGGCTGTAATTTCATTTACGCTCAATATGTGGGTCAACTGCACGCGAGTGGTAACAATAACATTACCATCAACACTCAACCCATGCGCACCTGCCCCATCGACAGCTTCAGTTTCGGCTTCAGCTTCGGCTTCGACTTTGGTTTTTAGTGATGTGCGGTCATGTAACGAATTGGAGCAACCGAATGTGCCTCGAGCCACGCCAGCCAAGCCAAGTCAAGCTATAAAAGCAATTACAAGCGCAATATGTCAAAGACGCTTACAATTGACGCTGACGACGGCGATGGCGATGACGTTGCAGGAAGAGGTCTTAACGAGAGTCAAAGTGGAATTTCACATTGGTGTCCAATTGGAATTAGCGTCTAT